TTGAGTAAGTGTTTAAAATCTCTCCAAGGAGGACTGGTTCAAAATCTATACAAGGGTTTCACATCTTCACTATATATGTAAGCTTCACAACGGATTATGTTATTTCAAAAGGTTTTTGAAACTAAGAAATCATTAAGAGTTCAAAATGATGAGTTTCTATAAAAATATAAAGATAGCGCACAAGTAGAGTATGAAAATCGCCCATGATTTGGTTAGGGTTATTCTAGCAAATTAAAAAAATGATAATATAACTTTACCGTGAATAATATGAACCAATTATCTTAACACAAAATTTATGAAAAATAACAAAACTAACTAAATTAACCAAATTAAACCATAGTTCAAAACATTAAAATTAACTTCCAAAATGCATCCAAAAATACTCAAAACACAATGCATAAACTGAAATGTAAATAAAGAGTTTGAGAGAAATAGAGAGAGAATAGAAATATGAAAGTGGCTCTGGCTGACAAAGCTGATGATGGGCCACCACCATATCTCATTCCAAGTAGCCTCAGAATCTCGTCCTGGTTCTCCTCATACTTGGTCATTCTTTGATCAAATTGGGACATCCTTGTCTTGAGACCCAACCAAATCTTTCTATTAGTCCGATCATCAACTGGAATATATGGCTGCTACTCTTCTTGCTACTGTTGTGGCTCCTCTGTTGGCTGAAAATTTGCACCTTCTGGAAACGGGTCTGCCTGTGGTTTTGGTGGCACCTCTTGCTATTCCTCTACTTGAATTCCATGACTATTTTTCAATGAAGTTTTATCCAAAGGTGCCAAATGTTCCATAATAGGCCGTGATGGATCCGATATCACTCCATTCTGCCTATATAATTCAGATACTAAAACAACAAAAGAAAGTGAGGGTTTTTATTTTTCACAGTCAATATCATTTGATCCATAATTAGTGTGGATAGGTCAATGGTGTGTCCCATTCAAGAGAATACATAAAATATGTTTTCTTAGTGAAAACTTGATTTTTCTAGGATTGGGCAACAAATTGTTCATAGTAATCAAATTCAAAATCCGATACTTGCTCGTCAAATCTCCTTGCTTAGTATACTAGTTTGGCCTACCTAGACATAATTCGGATTCCCAATCAACTCAATCCCAACTGTAGACATACTAGGTAGTGTGGTAAGGGATATTGGGGATGAATCTGTCTCGGCATAGGGTCCAAATAATTAGCAATAGTAGATGTTGTAACTTGAAATGCAATTCCCCAAATATATGCATGCAATTCCCTTGACCCAGTTATTTGTGTATTACTATAAAATTCTCAAACCAAACATTCAAAAGCAAGACCCACAAGTTTCACATAATTCAACCATCCCCGATTCGCTAAATTTTGTCTAACCCTAATATGTTCAAAATCTTCATAAATCATAGGCCTTTCAGAAATAATAGTTTTGGTTAAGAAATTAGTATCATAACAAATCTGTTGCTCGATATTTTCAAACATAGCATTATTGAACTGATTTTAAACCTAGGGTTATCTCTTCTCCTATGGTACTGATGGGGGCAATGGAGAGACTCCTCGCCTTGATCGACTGGAAGAAGCACCATTCCTATGAGCTCTTAATTTTCTTCTTGGGTCCATGAAGATGATTCTTGAATTTCTTGATCAATAGAGGATTTTGCAAGATTTTAATCAGTAGAAACCTTTAAGTGTTTTATAAGAGCAAAATTGAAGAAAAACTAGTGGGTAAAACAAATTTGAAGAAAAAAGGCAGAGAAGATTCCTGTTTTTTAGAATTTTCTATTCGAAGGGAACTACAAAACTGTCTGGTCACGAACAGTCTACTTTTATAAAGGGTAGTGCCATCCAGATGCTGCTAGCACCATCTAGATAGTATTGATTCATTGGCTTTTGCAAAGCTTCCTCAACTGCTACCTTTTGATTTCCTCCTCCTTTCCAGTTTTCAGTTACAGATACTTTAGTTACTAAAATTTATTTAAATTCAAAAATTCTCTCTTTACTCACCTAATACACCTAAATCACTTTAAAACAATTAAGTATATATATATATATATATATATTAATCTAGACTATAAATATACATTACACAACAAATCCAACATTATACATTCTTGATCATAGTCAATTTAATCAGAATCTTCTAAATCAAGAATGTTTGTGAATCAATTAATATCATGTCATACATATCTTGTGAGCATTGGACAAGAATAAGATGACTTCTCAGGGTAGTCCTTACTCTGTCCATGCTTAATCCCATCAAGACGATCTAGTGTTTGACCTAAAATTGGTTCGAAACATTGATTAAATTCTCTCATATGCATCAATCGACCACACTTTACACAACCACCGAGTCAATTTGCTTGTTGGCATTTGGCAAGTGAACTTTTTCCACAAAACGGTTTTATTTTACTACTGAAAATTTCTAGTTTTCTCACAACTTTTACTTTTGCTATGATCAAAGAGTGTTTGTCTTTTGAAAAAGTATGTAACACACCCAAACTAAATCAAAAAATTTTTCATCCATTTTTTTTTGAATTTTTTTTAAAATTTCTAAAAGACTCACTAGGCTCACTATCCAGTTCTTTGACGTCTGCTATTCACAAAGATGATTATGGATCATTCCTTCCCCCAACCTAAATTTAAAATTGTCCTCAATGTATAACATTAACAAGCAATGAAACTCTAATGAAAATGAAACAAATCCATTATGCAAAACTCTAATCTACAAAACAAACAAAACTATTAGTTCTGCTATTTACCAACAAATTTACATAATACTCCTCAAGACAATTATTCTGGCTTCTTTAACTAAATGCAATTCACATTTTGAACGAACTCGTTATAATATGGCTTAAGCCTTTGACCATTTAATTTAAAAATATTTTTACTTAACGGATTTTCAATTTCACCTGCTCCATGTTCAAAAACTTGTTTGATAATGTAAGGGATGTCCACCTAATCTTTACTTTCCAGGAAATAGGCGGAGCCTTGAATTGTATAACAAATTTTTTTGAGATGGTACAAAGGACTTCGGCATAATATTTTTGTCATGAAAAATCTTCATTCTGGATTTGACAATTTTTGCATTTTCATATGCATTTCTCAATTCTTCTAGTTCATTAATCTGAAGCTTGCGGGATGCACTTACTTTGTCTATATCAAAATTCATCATTTTGATTGTCTAGTATACTCGATGTTCCAATTTCACAGGTAAATGACATGGTTTACCATAACCGACTGATAAGGACACATTCCCAAAATGGCCTTATATGCTGTATGGTAAGCGCAAAGCTCATCAGTCAGTCTCAAAGACCAATCATTGTGATCTAGGTTAACTATTTTTAAAAAAATATATTTTATCTTCCTGTTGTCTAATTTAGCTTGTCCACTTATCTGAGGATGATAAGGGGTAGATACTTCATGTAAAATCAAATATTTTTTCATTAAATGTGTACCTTCATCACTTATCATAGCTTGAGGAATTCCAAATCTAGACAAAATATTTGCTTTTAAAAATTTGATCTTTGTATAATGATCATTGTTTTCGAAAAGAAATTGCCTCAACCCATTTGGAAATATAATCAACAACAACCAAAAATGTATAGATGTCCAAAGGAGGGGGAAAATGGTGCCATAAAATTGATTCCCTAACAACAAAAAATTTCAATAATAAAAATAGAATTTAAATACATCATGTTTCTTTTTGAAATATTCCCCATCAATTTAGACAAAAAACATGTATATCCCGACTACTACTTANGAAGGGTATTGATGCAAAGATCATCAAGCCTCAATGGAATGGACCTAGCCAAGTGTGGGATAGCCGTTCTGCTAGGCTTCCCCGCCATGTCCCCCGACTGCTGCTTGGCGTGGGGTAGCATAAGTCGTTTCCAGTGAAAGGGTGAGCGGCTCTCGAGAATCTGCCACCTTGAGGACTGAAATGTTTGGAGTAGTAGAAGATGGTTGGGGATTTTGTGCTACAAAAAAGGGCATAACCATAGGAGAAGGAATCGTCACTAGCGGTTGTTTAGGTGCCGTAGATTGCTTGTCAAAGTTTCCATAACAGAGTGGCACTGTACCATAAGGATGAGAAGTCTGATTAAGGCTAGCTTCTTGTTGTTTTGGCATGCTTGAAGAAAGTCAAAGACAAACTAATACAAGCTAAAATAGCTTTGGAACATTGTTGGACTGATGGGAATGAAAAAGCTTTTAATGAAGCCAAAAGAGTGAGGATCTGAACCATACTCTTTCTCATGGAAGAGACCTTTTCCCATCAGAAATCTGGTATTCAATGGCTTAAAAGAAGGTGACAAGAACACCAGATTTTTCCATGCGGTTGCAAGCAACAAATTGAAAAGAAGCCTCATTAGGTGAATCCTTAGAATGGGCCAATAAAATTCATATTGCAAAAATTNCAAAATTCATCATTTTGATTGTCTAGTATACTCGATGTTCCAATTTCACAGGTAAATGACATGGTTTACCATAACCGACTGATAAGGACACATTCCCAAAATGGCCTTATATGCTGTATGGTAAGCGCAAAGCTCATCAGTCAGTCTCAAAGACCAATCATTGTGATCTAGGTTAACTATTTTTAAAAAAATATATTTTATCTTCCTGTTGTCTAATTTAGCTTGTCCATTTATCTGAGGATGATAAGGGGTAGATACTTCATGTAAAATCAAATATTTTTTAATTAAATGTGTACCTTCATCACTTATCATAGCTTGGGGAATTCCAAATCTAGAAAAAATATTTGCTTTTAAAAATTTGATCTTTGTATAATGATCATTGTTTTCGAAAAGAAATTGCCTAAACCCATTTGGAAATATAATCAACAACAACCAAAAATGTATAGATGTCCAAAGGAGGGGGAAAATGGTGCCATAAAATTGATTCCCTAACAACAAAAAATTTCAACAATAAAAATAGAATTTAAATACATCATGTTTCTTTTTGAAATATTCCCCATCAATTTAGACAAAAAACATGTATATCCCGACTACTACTTAGCGTGGGGTAGCATAAGTCGTTTCCAGTGAAAGGGTGAGCGGCTCTCGAGAATCTGCCACCTTGAGGACTGAAATGTTTGGAGTAGTAGAAGATGGTTGAGGATTTTGTGCTACAAAAAAGGGCATAACCATAGGAGAAGGAATCGTCACTAGCGGTTGTTTAGGTGCCGTAGATTGCTTGTCAAAGTTTCCATAACAGAGTGGCACTGTACCATAAGGATGAGAAGTCTGATTAAGGCTAGCTTCTTGTTGTTTTGGCATGCTTGAAGAAAGTCAAAGACAAACTACTACAAGCTAAAATAGCTTTGGAACATTGTTGGACTGATGGGAATGAAAAAGCTTTTAATGAAGCCAAAAGAGTGAGGATCTGAACCATACTCTTTCTCATGGAAGAGACCTTTTCCCATCAGAAATCTGGTATTCAATGGCTTAAAAGAAGGTGACAAGAACACCAGATTTTTCCATGCGGTTGCAAGCAACAAATTGAAAAGAAGCCTCATTAGGTGAATCCTTAGAATGGGCCAATAAAATTCATATTGCAAAAATTTTGCAGCAATTTTATTTGAAGAGAATGCCTCCCACAAGCTTCAAAACAAAAAAAAATAAATAACCTAACCTATTTAAAGATTGGATACACAATGTCTTATTATTTGATCTTTACAATATTTGAATACATAGGAATCTTCCTAAAAGAAATTGCTTACCTCTCTTAAAAATTTCTGCTTATCGGTCAAAGTATAATGAAAAAGAATGGTACCAGTGGTCAAATAATTAGCTATATCTGCATACCATGGTACCTCTGTTATTGCGAATAATTGCTTATCAGGGAAGGTTTCCTTGATTGGTATTGACACTTTTTTTGTATCACAATTCAGCCTTGATAGATGATCAGCCACCACATTTTTAACTCATTTATAGTCTTTAATTATGAGATTGAATTCTTGAAGCAACATTATCCATGGTAGGAGGTGTGGCTTATCATCCTTCTTTGTAAGAAGATATTTCAAGCCTGCATGATCAGTAAACACAATAATTGAAGATCCAACTAAATATGATCGAAATTTATCTAAAACAACCACTACAATAAACAATTCTTTTTCTGTGGTAGAGAAGAAATTATTTCCATCCACTGTCTAACCACCTACTTTGGAGTTGAATCCATTGCCATCCACACTGAAATATGCATTCTTGGGGGAGAATAAAACATTTCCAGTGGTGATAAGCTCTTCATTAAAGCTAGAGCAACATGAAGAACTATTGAGAGTCTTGAGGAAGCATAAATGAGTGATTGGTTGTTGGACTATAGCCGATNTAAAGCTAGAGCAACATGAAGAACTATTGAGAGTCTTGAGGAAGCATAAATGAGTGAATGGTTGGACTATAGCCGACATCAAGAGAATTAGCCCTCTCATTTGCACCCGTAGAATATATCTTGAAGAGGACGCCAAGCCATCCCAACAACCACAAAGGAGACTCAATCCAATTATGAAGGATGTGGTTAGAGATGAAGTGCTCAAGCTACTTGATGTAGGAATCATCTTTGCGATTGCTGACAGTAAGTAGGTTAGTCTCACACAAGTAGTCCCAAAGAAATCGGGAGTAACGGTGGTGTCCAATGAGGTGTCGTGTTTTACTTGGAAAAGTATTCCAAGATCGTCTCCTTAAGGAAGGAAGGGAATTATGTTGAAGATGATTTTGGTGAAAAAAGGAAAAGTGTAAAAAACTTTGATTTTTGAAGTTGGTGATTTGTGTTTGTGATAAAAAATGAAATGTAAAGAAGTGTTGGCTAATCCGAAGAGGTCATTCCAATGGAAATACCAAATCAACTCAAAACCTTTCTCCAATGGTGTCTAGATATTTGATTGATTCGTGGGAAGCGCGGGACTAAGATGAAGCTGAGGATCCAAGCATACCCCATGACAACGACTACAGTGTATCAAAGACACACAACCATGTCCACACTCAACCCAGTTAAACCGAATCAGTGTACACTAAGAGGGGGGAAGAAAATGAGTTGAAATGGCGAACCCAAGAGGAGGTCTCCCTTGGATTGGCCAACTTAAACTCTAGCTGCTCATAATAAAAGGAAAGACATGCATAATGTAAAGATACATAATGAAGAAATGAAGATTAGAACTTAGTTAATGAAACGAAACTAAAACTATGAAGAGAAATATTCAATACCTATTTCAAAGCTTAAAATGAAGAAACTTAAATACAACAATGCTAGAAACTTAGATACTCAACTAAACTTGCAAAGCACTTGAAATAAATGACATTAAGAGTAATAAATGAAGCTTACACAAGTCTTGCTAAAGATTACAAGTGAAATGAGTGGAAGAAATGCAAAAATCTAAGCTTTTCTATCTAACTGTTCATCTTCTTCCTTGAAGCTTTCTAAGCTTAGGTAGCCTCCCTCTTTTAAGCTTGTGGAATGCTGAATATATGGTGAAGAGAGACTTCAAATTTCATCCATGAGGCTCCCCTAGCCTGTGAGATTAGACCTCCTATCAATGGGAGGTGATTTGATGCATTGGACAGGCTAAGAAGAGCTTAGCCTGCACCTATCATGGCTGCCTAATTCTCTCCCATCCTCATCAATGCCATTGCCTCCAAAGTCTTCAACTAGGGTGTAGAAGGAATGTATATATGTAAGGGATGTCAGGGGACAAGTGAGAGAATCATTGGTGGGACCCCAAAGCAAGTGGAGCATGAGTTGCAAGCTTTCTAGGGATTCAGGGCAAAACCTTCTGGAAGGTGACAGCTCTGAACCCGTTTTAGTAGCATTGTCATAACTTTTGATCCAATTGTTGGATTGAGCTGAAATTTTGACACATAATAGAGGACATCCATATCTACAACTTTTGTGCTTGCAATTTTTTATATTCTAAGTGAATCATGGTACAAAATGGGGAAAATAGAGGTACTATGCCAAAACCTTTCAATTCTAGTGGGCAAAACCTTTCGGAAGGTCGATGCAAACCTTCCAGAAGGTTTTCTTCCAAATGCATTTTTTCTTGAATTATTCACCTTCCAAGCCTTCCAATACTCATGTAATGTATCCATCTCTTGACCACTCATTCATACTTAGTTGTAGAGCTCCAAAAGCCAACATTTACACTATAATTACTTGCAACATCAAAATTTCCACATTATTCATAACTTTGACTAATTTTAAATAATTAAATGCAAAGTTAAGTTAAAAAGCATGTAATGAGGCCATTAAATATGCAATATTTTATCCTCATTAGGTTGTCAAAAACAACTTTCTCCAAACACCCTAACTAATTGCACATGAATTTCATTATAACTTTAAATGCTATTCTAGAATATGCACCTAGAAATTTCATTTCAAAACTCGTGTGTGTGTGAAATGAATATGCAATTTAACCCTTTACTCAATAGAATCCACATTCATTTAGCTATCCAAATTCAAATTTGATTCAATTCTCACCAAGGGTTTCTCTAAAAAATGAATAACTCTATGATTATCCTGGCATGCTCTCAATGTGTATATGTGAGATAGAATCTTGTGCACAAATCGAGATAATATNCAATTTACCATTTTACCCTTTATTCATAAAAGTTTAAATCTACCCGGATTTTACAGGTATAATCTCATGAATTGAATTTTAGGTCAATAGATCGCACAATCAGCTTTTCTTTTCATTAAAAAAAATGTGCTCTCACCATGCTTTCTCCAGATTATTTAGGGATTTCATGGGTTGTCAANATTTACATATAATCTAGAAATAACGTGCATGCTTAACAATTGAAACGATATTGGTATAATCTCATGAATTGAATTTTAGGTCAATAGATCGCACAATCAACTTTTCTTTTCATTAAAAAAAAAAAGTGCTCTCACCATGCTTTCTCCAGATTATTTAGGGATTTCATGGGTTGTCAAGAGGCCTTGGGGTGATATTTGGGTTGAGTGAAACGAAGGGTAAAAGGAAATAAAAAAGGTTATTCCGAGGACATGACCTTTATTATCAAAAATCTCCTTTTTATGGAATTTTCATCTTTTCATCTTTTCACTTTCACTTCAACTTTTTTGCCTCTTTTTCTTTCTTTCTTCAATTTTTTTATTTTCATTCATTTCTTTTCTTTTCAATTCTTTTCTTTCCAACCTGCTTTTCTCCCTTTTCTTGTATTTTTCTCTTCTTTTTCATTCAAAATTTGAATTCGGTGCCATTCATACCTTTATTTTTTTGTTTCCTCACCACCTTTCCCTTTCTTCATGTTTAGTCACAATCAATCTCCAAAAAACGAAGGTGCGGTAATCATTTTGCACTGGCTCCGTAAAACATCTGGCATGGAAACGAATTTTAAATTAAGGCTTAATCATGACACTAGGAACATATTTTTTTCACAATAAAAGGCTAACTTAACACACGTCAAAGATGGTTTAAGATCATCTCTAGACATTTTTAGAAAAATTTAATCAACTATCCATATGCACTCAAACCAAAGCAAGCATAATGAGATTATTGAACGGATTTTGAATTTAAAAAAATATTTCTTCGAGTAAATGTGTAATGCCCCAAAATCTACCTTGGACAACATTATAATTTAAAACTATTCACATTATAAGAGAAACTAATAAAGTCCATAAATAAGGCAAATTACATTCATCATACATAATATCTACAATGTCATCCAAAAGAATATGTCAAACCATGGCATCTACATCCAAAAAGAATTTGTCAAACTATGACAATTACATCTCAAAATCAAACTTAATTTTGCAGTGGAATAAAAAAAATATCATCCATCCATTGTATCACAATACATCTCCTAGTCTAGGACATGGAGAGATCAACTCTAGATATCCCCCTCAGGATCCACGCTTTTGTCCATTTGTGCTTCCCAAGCTACCTACTCATCACCTTCGAGTTCCTCCTCTAAACCAAAATCTGAGAATAGATATTGTTTGTAGAGAGTGAGCACTAAGCTTTACAGCAACATCCTCCCAAACTTGAACAAGATTTAGAAAACATATAAAACAGTTCGGTCTCACTTTCCAAAATATCATATATAATTTGAAATAAATACCGACAATTTATTTGATCTCAAGTTATCGTAATAAAAATAAGTTAAATGAAAGGAATATACATGTCAAAATTGAAGAAATTAATTAATCATTCAAAAGCATCATCCCATATTCTCATGTATGTTGGTTGTTTCCCATGAATCTATATGACAAATCTACCTCGTTCACCCATCATATCCACACAAACCACTTTAGGAAGGGCATAT